CCTCACCGATGGAGTGCCCTCTCTCTCTCTCTCTCTCTCTCTCTCTCTCTACCTACGTTATATCTTTATAAATGGAAGCACTTCCAGGTCCTCGAGATAAGGACACCTCCATATTGCTCAAAGGATCTGCAAAATTATGCTTACACTATGAAAGCGAAAGAGGTTATGATAGATCCTTGTAATAAATCGTTTCAATATAAAATACGATGAAAATATACCTTTTTCAAATCTAACATCTCTCTCTCACTTACCCTTACTATGATAGATTTATTCTTTAAAAAATAATATTAATATAATGAATAATATATAGAATTAATAATTGATATAAATAATATTGTTATATAAGATTAAATAAGATCTAGAGAAATAAATAAATATTATTAAATTATATTTTAATGTTAATTTAATATGAAAGTATGTAACAAGTTAATTGCCAGGGGAAAGTTTGAAATCTTGTCAGGTAATGTGAATAATTCCTGGCGTTAGGCAATGTAAACAATGTCTTACCAACCAACTTTTCTTTGCCATTTTCTTAACCCTTGCAAAACGAATTATTACTCAAAGAAGTATTCTACGCGTAGATAAAAGAGTGTACTTTAATTTAATATAAGAATCATTCAAATCCGTTTACGAAAAGTATAAAAAATATTAACCGAAACTTTTCTAAGAAATTGCAAAGATGCACAATTTACTGCATTGCATTCTCAGACATTTTCTGAACTTTACATGCTAAATTTATAACTCAATATGGTATTCTACGTGTAGACAAAAGAGTGTACTTTAATTTAATATAAAAATCATTAAAATCTATTTGCTAAAAGTATAAAAAATATTTGCCGAAACTTTTCWAAGAAMTTGCAAAGATGCACAATTTACWGCATTGCATTCTCTGACATTTTCTGAACTTTACATGCTAAATTTATAACTTAATATGGTATTCTACGTGTAGACAAAAGAGTGTACTTTAATTTAATATAAAAATCATTAAAATCTTGTTGCTAAAAGTATAAAAACATTTAAACATTTCTTTGAAATCAATCGTTGAACTGAATCATTGTCCTGTATATAATTTCTTTTATTAAATATTGTTTATATGCATTTACGAAAGTTGTGCATACGTATAAACAAAAATAATATTCGTAATAGATACATTTTAATGTTAAACTTTATTTATTTTAACGTTCTTAAAATTTTACATACATATATAATTGTTTAAATTATATATAAAATACATTTGATTTAAATAAATATTATATTGCACATAAATACGTCGTTAAAAGTTTATTATTTATTTATTGATTTTATTTTTAATAGATGTTAATTAATATTAACATTTTCAATGTAAATTTTGATAATAATTAACAAAATCTATCCCGAACATTTGATCTTTCATTATGTAATCTAACTTTGTAAATTAAATTATAATTAAACAAATGTATATATTATAGTTAATAAAGCGATTGCACACTCGTTGTAAATCCTGGTTCCATCTAAATGCTATGGGGAGAATTAAAACTATATAAAGTTATGGTAAATATAAGCATTGATCTTATGATATATTAATAAATCTACTTATGATAAAGAAAGGTATCTGTGGCGACATCTGTGTAATAAAATATGAAGTTAAGTGCATTTAATGGTAATGCAGAAAACTGTAAATTAATTCTTTTTCTCACTGATAGGTGACAGTACTAGTATCAATCTGCCAAGAAATGACAGTAGATTGTAAAACGTGTGCAAATTCTCTAAAAAATAATTCTTCTAATATTATGAATAAATAAAACTGTCATAAAACAAAGTATGGATCTAGACACTGAGAAAGTTATAAATCTTGTTTTCCCACAAGGAATACCAGGTAAATCATTGGAAACTTTTATTTCCTATTAAATCTTGATATTTATTTTCTTTTTTTTTTCTAATAAACTTATTAGATTTAATATTATACCTATTGCATATAAATATATATAGATATATATTTATATTTCACAATTAGAAATAATAGAAGAAATTTGTATAAGTTTACTTGATCTTGTATATTTCTTAAACACTTTATAGAAGCATGGAAAAATAATTCAAAATTTGCCCAATATCTATCAAAACTTGGTGGATTTGATGTTGATCAATTAAGTAAGTTTCATTTAATTATTTTATTAATATAAATAATATATTAATAATATATATATATACATATCAAATATTCAATATATTTTCCATGACATTATTAACTATGCCTTTTAAATTATAGCCATAGAACCAGACCATTTATCGGATGAAAGAAAATCAGTGTTAGAAACTACTCAAGAATTAGTATTTGGAAATTATAAAACATTTATATCAACCGCAGAAAGTTCTAGAGAAATATTTAAACAGGTAATAATATGAATTATATTATAATCAATCTTGTTGTTTAATATAATAATTGACCAATAATGTTTTAAGTTTAATGAGACCGAAATACGGCTCGATAGGCTGGTGCAAAAAATTCCAGAATTTGTGGAAAAGTGCCAAACATTTTGTGATACTTCTAAAGATATCAGCACGCGTAGAAGAATAAATAGTTTAACGTTAACAAGAAATGCGGAGTTACTCGAGGTATTAGAGATGCCACAATTGATGGAATCCTGTTTAAGAAGTAATCAGTATAATGAAGCATTAGAACTTTCTCAATATGCACGTCAATTAGGAGCAAAGCATGGTGATATTCCAATAATAGCGGTATGTAATACGAATTACTCATTTATTAAATTGATTAACTCTATGAAACAATAAATAAAGAATATTAATATAATAACTGATACATTTTATTGAATAATCATATAGTCTATAGTAGCAGAAATTGAAAGTAGTTGGTCTGGAATGGTTGGACAAGTTGTTGGCTCGCTTAGAGGAGATTTGCCACTTCCAAGATGTTTGCAATTAGTAGGACTCTTACGTTCTATGGATGCCTTTACAGAACCTGAGCTACGTATCAAATTTCTTCAAGCGCGTGATAGTTGGTTACAAAGTCTTTTAAATGATATTCCAAAAGAAGATCGTAAGTTTTCTATTATTATATGTGTATATATAAATAATTAATAATTGATAGTAACTGTTATTAAAATTTTTACAGCTAATCTTCATATAACAAAAACTATAGAATTATCTAGGATACATTTGTTTAATATTATAACGCAATACAGAGCTATGTTCAATGATGATGAATTAATAATGCCTGGTAGAGATCCAAATATAAATGAATCGGCTATATTTTATCACTGGTTAGATGAAAAGGTATACTTTATGTTTTTTATTTATAGCTTATTAATTTTTTATAATTGTTAAACTTAATAACTTTTTATTATATTAATAGATAACACAGTTCCTTACAACATTAGAACAAGATTTACCAGGTGTAACATCTATAGATTCTATTTTGGGTCAGTGTACATATTTTGGTTTATCGTTTGGAAGAGTTGGTGCTGATTTTACTGGACGAATGTCTGATATATTTGTAAGAATAATTGGAGACAGACTCGAATTAGCTATTAGAAGAACAACAAGAAAATTTGAAAAGGATATGGAAACATTTACATTAATTAATAAACCACAAAGAACTGATATTAAATCTGATACTGCTGGTAAATCTGTATGTATATTGTTCTACGTTTATCATTGCATTTTAATTATTATTATACAAATATTTTCAAACTTACAATGTAACGCTATTATATTATTTGACACAGGTAATTCCTCCGGAACAGCTTGTAGAATTTTATCCATTAGCTGAATATTGTAATGGATTAATTTCTGCATTTAATGAATTGAGACCTTGTGCACCAGTTGCAATATCCACTATGTGTACTAAACTTTTACAAGAATCACTACATTCTGTAGCTAAAGCGATGTTAGTTTTTTATAAACAAGAACAACAGGTAGATTATCGTAAATACATTTTTGTCACTGACGTGTTTTTTTTTCTATTTTCTTAAGATTTCATATTTTTTGTTTGTTGTTTATATAGGCATTCGCTGCCGTAGAACGTGATAATATGGTTAGATTTGCAGAATGTTTAAGCGAATATTTAATTCCTTATGTACAGTATTGTATACATACTATCTTTCCACCAAATCAAATCTCAATACATTTGGGAATTTCGGAAATCGTATTACAGCAAGAGGTATACATATATATATCAAATATTTTCTATTTCTTAATAACATAAATATAAAATGAATAACGTTACTATTAATATTTAATATTACAGGGTATTACATATTTGGATTATAAAAGCATACTAGAACCTGTACTATTTTTACTACCACCTACTGCGAGTTTAAAAGCTACTATTGTATCTAAACTACCTTTATCTACCGCACAAGATATCTTAGATTCAACACAAATTTCTACAAATTCGGAAAATTCTTCGAAAGAAGCTATTACTATGTCAATGCAGAAAATGAAAATAATCGATACTAAAAAAGTAAGAGAAAATAATATGAAAGATGAAAAATCAAAGATAAAAAACGAAGTATCTACGGAAGAAGATATTGGAAAGAATTCAATGGAATTATCAGAAAACATTCCGGCATCTATAAATCCTGATTTAAAACAGGATAAATTATTGTAAGTAAAAAAAAAAACAAAAAGAATTGAATTATGTGCTATTTTGTGCTTAAATAATATAAAATGTGAGAGAGAAATAAATCATATTTTTATTTATATATATTTATTATAAACAATACAAATTCATTCAATGTGAATGGAAGTATAATATAATAATTTGATAAATAATTCAAAACAAACATAAATAATAACTCATTATTTCTTTAAATATTATTACGAACATAATTTCGCATTCAATTTAACATATAAGAATTATTCAATAAATTTCAATATTTTTGATATATTCTAATATGTGTATATATATATATATTATGAGTATAATGAAAAACTATAGAAAACATTCATAAATATATATATATATATAAATAATAAATAATACAAGAAAACAATTAAATAAATATAAATTCAATTTGTGATAGTAAAGTGTATCAAAAGATATTACACGTATCTTATTTGAACAATTCGAAATGTATACGCGATGCAAAATATAATGATCACAATAATATCATTTAATTTCAGAAAGATCAAACGATCATTTGGTTGATCTCAAAAATATTATCTCGATGAAGATTAAATTTATCAAATTACGATGATTCCTCAGTTGATAAATAATAATTACCGTCTCTTCCTCTTCTGTATTTTTTAGATTTTAAATTTATACAGCTTTTAATTTTAACATTAGGATTTTTGTTTAACGACGACGAAGACGTCGAAGTTAAGGAATAACAATCGTCATTTTTATCATTCTGACGCGAATGTGATATTTTATAAGATTTATTCATTTTTTCTTTGGCATTAAATTCGTTGAATGATTTTTCTTGGAGATCATTATTACTATCACTGGATTTGCATTCATACTTATCTCTCTTCTTTATCATCCATTTTCCTTCTTCGTATTTTCTTTTGTTTGATTTCGAATGATCATTTGGAACGTAGATAATTTTGTCAACATTAATAGGTACAGATTCCGATTCTTTATTTAAAGTTCCACTAATTCTACACACTGGTTTTTTTGATTTGAATAACTTCAAGTGATGTCCATCGAGACGATTAAACACTTCTAATGAATCTGTTTAATAAATAATCATTTACTATACTGTATGTTACTTAAATATATAGTTATTGATTGATTTAATTCGTAAATGTGAATGTATTACAAAAAAAATGTCGGATGAACAAAATATGATTTCAATGTGTGAAAACTCACCGGCATCATCACTTGTCTTCTCATCTGTATCAGATTTTTCATTATTAAGTATACGATTAACGCTGGTTTGATAATGTTGTGGAAATTCATCAGAATGATTTTTCACGTATTTATCCCATAATATACCGGCATATTCCGATGATACTTTATAATCAGATGGCCATTTATCGTATATCGTATTTTTCAACAAGTTTCTTTTCCATTTTGTTCGTTTTGATGGTGGATACGTTTTAATTCGATTTGATCTCTCTAATAGTAAAAATAAAATACTTATACTCGCATTTGTCAATTTGTTAAATAATAAAATTATTAAAATAAATAAAAAAAAAAAAGAAAAAACGTATTAGTATAATTTAGCATAATTTAATTACTTAAAACAGGAGAAATATCAATTTCTTTGTTACTTTCATCCAAAGAGATCTGAATTTTGTTGATACTTTCATCCGAAGAGATATTAATTTCTTCATAATTTTCTTTATTCGCGATAATACTTTGTATCGAAGGATGATAATTTGATTTTCTCGAAATTAAAGACGGCGAAAGTAGAATATTATCGTGATCATTATAATTAATATCACGTATACGTTCCGGATTTTCAAATAATTTACACGTAGATTGACATTGTTCTTTTACTTTTGTAGATATGTTTTCTAATATTTCTGGTATATTCACGTTTGTAGATTTGTCTTTTAATATTTTCTCTACTTTCACGATTTTCCTATTTTTGTCGATTAATTCTAGTTCCGATTCGCTATTAGACGTTCCCGATACGATGAATCTTCTTCCTCTTTTATTAATACATACAATTTTTGTATTAATAGGTTTAGTTTTGGAAAATTTTTTTTTACGTTTAATCTTCTTATTATTATCAAATGTACGTCTTTTAATATTAGTTTTATTTTTTAACTTTACACTGTCCGACGAGGTACACTTTACATCCGAAATCGAACATGAACTAGTATCAATATCACGTTTTATGGGAGTACTGCTAATAACTTTAGTTGCCTTTGCATACATTTTCAAATGTAAAATGAAATTCTTCGATGTTATCTTTACAACGGTTAAATACGATTTGACTTCATCTATATCGAACATTATATTATATTACAATCATACGAGTTTTGATTTCCTTTGTAACACAAGTTTTGACCTTTGGTAAAAGTATAAATATATATATATATATTTATGTATTCACTAATAAATTTCTAAGAATATCAAATTCTATGAAAGAAAATCGAATGTCGTAATTATTATTTGTGAAAGAAAATATTATATAATTTTCAAGGAATATTTGTTAATCGCACATCCTACACGCCAATTATTTATATTTCTTTATATAACGTAAAATAATTATTAATTTTAACCTGAAATTATAATCGTATTTGTTTATACACCGACTTCAAAACGTTTCACATGAATTCATTCAAATAAACAATTGCAAATAATTTAGATAAAAATGATTTCATTGTAATTATATATTCGATACTTAAGGGGAAAACCCTACTTTTTTAAAATGGGAAGAAAGGTGGTAGTTTTCGGGGATGTTTTTTAAAGAAAATAAAATAAAATGATTCGTCTTTTTAAAACTTTTAGGATAATTAAATATACATTTTAAAAAGTATTTTATATATTTTTAATAGACTGTTATTAATCACAGTCTTTCGATGATAAGAAATTATCGATGTATATTGTGTTAGAAGAAACTTAGAATAATATTAACTAATTTAGTTTAAATCTGATTAAACTAAATTAGAAAACAGAAAAACTGATTTGATATTTAGAAAAAAAATTCGACATATTGTAATGAAGCGTTTGTTATTAAACTTGTGTATTTAATCTCGTCGAATTATAAACATTGAAGACTTTGATAAGGTTCATTTTAAATTTAACGTTTTATTAAATTAAAATTAAATTAAATTATACATTAAATTGATTTTAATTTTATTCAATTAAAATAAATTAATCAAAAAATAATCTAGTTTTTGTATGCAATAATATAGTATATAATAAAAGTAGTAGTTTACTGCATACAGGGTACTAGATTGTAAGAAAAAAAAGATAATAATTAAAACAAATATTCATATTAGATATCTAATTGTTTGTTTTTAAATGTATATAAAATTTAATTATACATCCACGTTGTGTAAATTAATTACTATTAAAAGTTACTAGGAAATAAAAAAGTTTAAAAAATATTGAAATTCTAGTAACATGGCTAGGCCGATATCGGTAATAGTAGTGTTCTACCTTTATCTTACCGACCGAGATCTGATGATGGTTCTACCGGGTGTCGTGTTAAATAATGACGCTACTAGTTAGCTTGTTGTACAATTGCCACATGTTATTTCATTCAGTTCATGTTTGAATGGTGAATTGTTTTTTAAGCAGACAAAAAAAGGTTAAGGATAAAAAATCAAATATGAAATTAAAAACTAAATCAAGGAAAGAGAAAATTTTGTGCGAAAACAAAGATAATGATAATGAAAGAAATATAATCGACGTTTCTGCATGGAGTGCACTTGGTACACCAAAGGAAATAATAAAAGCTTTATCTGATGAAAAGTTTTATACTCCAACAACAATACAATCTTTAACATTGCCACCAGCAATATTTGGAAGAAGAGATATTCTTGGAGCTGCTGAAACTGGCAGTGGGAAAACTTTAGCATTTGGTATTCCTATTTTAAATGGTATATTAGAATTGAAGAAGAAACATTTAAAAAGAAAACAAGATGATCGATTAGAAAATGAAAGCAATGAGGAAGAATTGGAATATTCCAATGATGAAGGTAACAATATATATCTAGTTGATTTCATTAATAAATTGACAAACTTCATTTAATTCAACCCTTTGCACTCAATGCACTTTTGGATAAATACAAAAAATCCTATTGTTTAACTATTAAATTAAATGGATATCTTGGAATTAAATTCTAAAGAATAAAATTAATAATAATATCTCTATATATATTTTAACAATAAATAAAGAATATGTATATGAAACTTATCAAAATAATAGTATCACTTAAATTTATCAGTTTTTGTATATTACGATTAGAAAAGTACAGTACTCTGGTAGTTAAAGTACAAAGGTTTAATGTAAACATAACATTTATTATATTACATTTAAATATATTCAAGATTCCAATGGGAGTGAAAGTTCTGATGAAAGCGAGGAAGAAAGTGAGGAAGAAATAGAAGAAAATTTTGATAATGTCGATGGGATTGGATGTGTACGTGTGATACATAATGTAAAAATGGAGGAAGAAAAAACGAATTCTTTGCAAAAACCACTTTATGCATTGATATTAACACCAACAAGAGAATTAGCTATTCAAGTAAAAGATCATCTTGTTAAAGCAGCCAAATATACTGATATAAAAGTAAGAACAATTAGAATTAAAAATAAAGGCTTGAAATTATTTAGAAAATAACTATTACGATGAAGATAATAACTGTAATCAAAGCAGATAAATGTTGATATTTTAGTTATTATTCACAACTGTCTTAACATCAGAATTAATAAATGTTTTCAAGACCTTTCAAAAAATCAATTAATTTATATATTTATACATTAAAATATAAATTTTGTTTAATGCAGATAGCAGTCGTAGTAGGTGGCATGGCTGCTGTTAAACAAGAAAGACTTTTAAGTAAAGGTCCTGAAATAGTAATTGCAACTCCAGGAAGATTATGGGAATTGATTCAGCTTGGTAATGAACACCTAAATCAATTGAGTTCTATTAAGTATGTTTATAAATATAACACAATATTAATTTCAACATTATATAGTTATTTTCTCTTTTTTTTGACATATAATCATTTTAATAAGCAAATAATAAAAAAATGTTTACGCGTATAACAGATACTTGGCTATCGATGAAACTGATAGAATGTTAGAGAAAGGACATTTTCAAGAATTGCAGGATATAATTGAAAGAATTAATGGTAATGAAAAGAAAGCGCAGAAAAGAAAAACTTATGTATTTTCTGCTACCTTAACTTTGGTTCATGATATTCCTGATTATTTACAAAGGAAAAAGAATAGATCTGGGAAAAGTAAAATATTCAAGCTTACCTCTGGTCAGAAATTACAAAAGATTATAGATATGTTAAATATAAAAAATCCCAAAATAGTTGACATCACAAGAGAAACTGGTAAAACAAATTATTAATTAAAAAAATAGATATATATATTACGTATATTGAAAAGCGAATAATAATATTTATTCTTATGATTCAGGTACTGCTACGAATTTGACGGAATCTAGAATTGCATGTACACTAGATCACAAAGATTATTACCTTTATTATTTTTTAAAAAGACACACTGGAAGAACTTTAGTATTTTGTAACAGTATCGGTTGTGTCAAACGTTTGGCTACACTTTTTAATATATTAGAATGTAATCCTTTACCTTTACATGCCAACATGCAACAAAGGCAACGTTTAAAAAATCTTGAAAGGTAAGAATTAACTAAATGATATTTAATGACTTATTTTTATCTAAACAAAATATTCTAGATTCCAGGATGATGAGAATGGATTATTAATAGCAACAGATGTAGCTGCGAGAGGATTAGATATTCCTAATATTGAACATGTAATACATTACCAAGTTCCTAGGACATCTGAGGTATATATTATATGATTAATAATTGAGAATTTATACGTCAAAATGATTAACTCTACAAAACAAAAAGTAGAGATAATTGATAAAATTATACATGCATTTTCCTATCGTTTATTATTAAACGGTTATAAAAAATGATGATTGACCATTTAGGTGATATTAAACACATAATTAATTATCTTAAAAATAAATTTCTCTAATAATTATTAAAGCGTTTTCTCTTTTTTTTTTTTTTTTTTCGATATAATGAAATTTTAAAATATATTCTAAAAGTAAAGTTTGTTTTTTTTCTTCTTTTTCATTTTGGTTTTATGAATGGCACAATTTATATTCTATTATAAATTGTCGTAATAATAATTTTTTGTTTTCAGAGTTATGTGCATAGAAGTGGTAGAACTGCGCGAGCTGAAAAAGAAGGAATAACAGTTCTTATGATGGAACCATCAGAAAAACAGAATTATAGCAAATTGTGCCAAACTCTAGGTCGAAGTAAGTTATAATGAATATTATATCATTATAATATAATGAATTCTTTTGATTACCGGTTAAAATTCAATATGATCTTGTATTATTATCTTTTTTTCTTTTGTAGCCGAAGATATACCTACATTTCCAGTGATAGATAGACTGTTAATGGCTGTAAAAGAAAGAATCGATATTGCTAGGGAAATAGATAGTTTAGAATTAAAATGTAAAAGAAATAACGTGCACAAAGGTTGGCTGCAAAAAGCAGTAGAAGATATGGATATTATTTTAGACGAAGATCAACTGTAATTATTACTTTCTTTTTTATTATTATTATTATTATTATTATTATTATTATTTTCGAATATTTTCTTTTATTTTCTTTTCAATTTTTTTATTATATATTCCTGATCTCATTCATCATTCGTATTTTCTTTTTTTAGTGAAACAACGATGGAAACCAAGGAAATGGCAGATCTGCGACGTTCGTTAAAAGCAAGAAGAAATAAATTAACGTCTCTCTTATCAAAGCCATTATTTCCGAAAGGATTTTCTGGAAGATATCCTGACAGTAACATTAATTACAATTTAGATCATGGCAATTCAAAAGCAGTCGACGTAATGAAAAAAGTTATGGAAGATAATCCGAAGAAACGAAAAAATGTGGTCGATTCTTTGAAAAGGAAAAGACCGATAAAGAAAAGAAAAATATAGGATTACAAATACATACGATTTGTACGAAGATTAATAAGAGAGAAAAAAGAAAAATAAAAAAAAAAAAAAATAATAAAAAGAGGAACGTCGAAAAAATTTATTTGTGTTATTTCCACGCAAAGGTGATAAGAAAGGAATTATTAATTTTAATCGATGTGTTATTTTTACCTTTGAATTACAAAAATCGCATTTCTTTCTTTTTTTTTTTCTCTCTCTTTCTTTTTTTCTTTTCCTTTTTGTATAATTATACATCGAGCGATTTGCAAATAATTTTTAATACAATGCGCGCTTTTTTTTTTAGATAGCCATCCTTACAATTAATACACTTGGTAAAATGTTTATGTACAAAATTATATATCGGACATGTAATTAAAACTTAACGCTCAAAGAATTCCTACTTTTGCGCAAATATAATACAAATTGTAATGTAAAATAACTAAGAAAAAAAAAAAAAAAAAAAAAAAAAAAAAAAACAAAAAGAGTACGACGATCGGTGCGATATCGATCACGAAAAAGCACAGCCCATCTAATATGTTTTCTAAAAGAAACTTTCTCCGATATTTTATAATTCCAGAGAAAAGTTAATATATATATATATATATAACAATGCGCTATCATTGTAATACAATAATATATCACTTCATCAAAATATTGTATTGTAAATAACATCGTCATCTGTGCTAATAATGGAATCTATCTGATCGTTAATTATTATCGAATTAATATATCTTTCTTTGCGAATTGGATTTTGTTCTTCCAACGGTGGGTCGCTACCCTTAACGATGATCTTAATACTAGCCATGACGTGACTTCCAGGACAATTTTGTATCTGAACAGTTGTATTATTGTCGCATATTTCGGCATAAATCTCATCGGTTTTAGGTTTGGTTGTTGGTTGTGGAAGGGGTGGAAGTGGCGTCAGGCTGTCACGAACGCGAGAATAATTCGGTTGAAGTTCGACGTTCGTTGGTGGAACCTCTAATACACTCGTTGACACCGATCTTTGTACAGGTTGTTTAGTTGTAGAGTCAGGACGACTCTGTCGAGAGGTAGTTTCTGGTTCCAAACTGGAATAACGTTCCTGAGAAGATTTCATAGCAACTTCTGGTCTAACTGCGAACGTAAATGAGGCAGATTTTTTAGCAGGATTTCTGCTACGACCACCCTGAGCAAGTTTAGAGATCCTTTCCAGAAAACCATTTCCAGAATTTTGCCTAGTCCTACTTCTCTCCCTGACAGTTGTCTTTTTAAGTTGCTCCAAGCCGTCCCTCAAACTTTGAAGTATCGGTCTCGTTTCTTGTTTCGGTTTGATCTTTTTCAAATGCATCTCTTTTAAATTCTCCGTGCTTGGATGTAATTTCAAAGGTGCCACTCGTGGTTCCGTTGCACGATCTCCAACTGCTCGGCTAAAGTGGAAGAACCAGTTAAGCCACGCTCGGTACATACATTTGCGAACGCTTTGCATCTTTTTAATGCAACAACGTTCGTCGTCGTCGTCGTCGTTCTATGTGACATCGACGTATATGTCGCATTACTATGAACCTAACTTTTGCATTTATATTAAAGAATTTTCCCACGTACATCCTTTATCACCGTTTATCTTATTAGATTCGAAAAGAAATGCTAAATGCGTTTTAAACAGTCATTAATGTTTCATAAAAAGAGAAGCTGTTCTTTTATTTGTATTTTTCTATCATTTATTACTACTACTAATCATTGAATTGGATAAAGGATTATGATATATTTTACCTGCACGCGGCAAGGAGTCTTTGCATTTTAGGTGATGCCAATAATCTTGCCTCTGATGGATAACCTAATCGTGCCCTCCTCACTCTAGGTGCACCATTACCAGATACTACCAATTCTAGCATTTCTGGATTATGTACTGGCCTTTCTGGAACTATACATCCTAAAACAATTGGACCACGCGTAGATGATTCTAATTGCATCAGACCACCATATTCTCTTGGTAATGGAACCGGCAGTGGACCTGCTATCAGTCGTACCTACGAAAAGTAAAAGTATTTTTTTGTCAATTTCAACAAAACGAACGAACAAGCAAACATACAAATGATTCCAATTGAAATTGGATTGAACAAATAATTGAATAATTTGATAATTACAAGGAGGAAGGGGAAGGGGGTGGGCAGGGGGTAAAAGACAATAAATGAAATTTACTCTCAATGGTAAAGGCCTCCTCGCAAGATGATGAACTTTATATAGAACTGCATCGCTTCCCGTATCCATACTTCCATTTTGACAAATTGCATAAAATTCACCCCTAGCTGAGAGGGGTGCAAATACTTCTCGTCCGTGTGGATCCAAACATTGTGCGTATTGATCCCTCTCCGAGGATCCACCAGAGATACCGAAACTAACTGAATTACATTTTCTCGTATCTTGAAAAACGGCTATCAGTCGTAGTATCTCACCTGCCCTTATCGTTGTTTTCGTATAGTGAGCACGAAGATTTCCATTTTCTAGGATTTTAATATTAGAAAAAACAAAAAAAAAAGGGAGGATAAGTAATACACCATATTGAAATATTTTTAATATCTCATAGAATGTAAAAGTCTAATATGAATTAGGAATTATATTATAAAAGAGAAAAATGAATAAACAAAAACTGAATTACCCATTTTCGAGTGCGTGAGTGTATATGCTCTCAATGGGGCTGCCAAAAGGAAAGCTGGTACACCGGCTCGTACCAAAGATTCTACCCTTCTGTAAACTCGCGCACTACCTGTTGTATTGTTGCCGGATATCACAGAAAACCATCCTACGAAAAAAGACAAAAAAAACAAGAAAGAAAAAAGAACAAAGAAGTACGACCAACACAAATATGCAACAAATTAAATATTTCTACGGATTTGAAAAGATCTTTTTCTTTTTTTTTTTAATACATAATTTTTTAAATTTCGTTCAATTACCTTTAAACGAACAGAATTTTCTTACCGGCACAGTTAACAACGCTTTTCAAAATGTTTCATTAACTTTAAGTAAAAAAACAAAACAAAAAACAAATAAGAATAAATAAAATAAAGAAACAAATATTTGATTAAATGAAATGTACCTCCCATTTTTATTTACTCTATTGTCTGTTTAATTTTTTTTTTTTAAATTCACGATAGGGGAATAGGTATGCAGGGGGGAAAGGGTGTCTGTAGGTTTAGTGTTAAATTCATCTTAGAGAATTATAAGCAAAAAAAAAAAGAAAAAGAAATAACATTATACGTTGCACCCCATAGATTAAACGATTTGAGTTATACTCGAGTCGGTAAATACAGATGGAAAAAGAAAAAAAAAAGAAAAGAAAAAATAAAAAAAAATAAAAGGAAGAAGATTCGAAAAGACACACAGTAGTCTCTTCTCGAATTGGTTGGCTGATCGAAGGTCGGCCGGTTCTTTTGGTCGTTGTTAATTGATTTAAGAATGTCGGCTTGATGGTCGAATGCACGCACGCATGCACGCATGCACGCGTGCACGCGTGCGTGCGTGCGTGCGTGCCCTTCGTTCAACCTGATCTTTAAGAAACACGGTTCTCCTCATCCTTATCCTCAATCCTAAAACCTTTTTCTCTCTTTTTTCGCATACCACCGTTCTTTTTCTTTTTAAGAAAACAAAAAAACAACCCCCCCTTCCTTTTTCTGTTTCTTCTATTCTTGTATCGAACGTACAAGGGTTAAAATAGAACAAATACATATATAGAAAGATGGAATGTGTATTTGGTTTACAAGTAAAAAAATTCGAAACTAAATTTAAACAATGTGGTATTTTATATACAAAGTAATAATTAAACCCCTTTACTCTATGTATTTTTTTTTATCAATTACATATTAACCCTTTTGGTACGCGTTTTATTTATCTTTTTTTTTTTATTATATTATTTTAATATTTATTCGAAAAAATTTATATAATAATAATAATAAATATAAAAGATTTGTTGTTTATTTTTGTTTCAACTTTTTAATCAAAACTTCCAAATTTTATATTTAACATAAACAATATTATGATACGTTTTTATAAATTAAAGTATATATAATAATAAAATACTTGTCGTGTATGTGTGTGTGTACATGAATTTAATGAAATTATTTAATGAAAAAAAAAAAGAAAAGAGTATATTTGAGAAAGAAATTGTTCTCACGGAATTTCTCGATGACACGATAACGTTTTAAATTAATAGAAAGATCTTACAAATAGTGAGAGACGAATCGGTCCGGAAAAGAAAATGTGTTGTAAGGGAATAGGTAACCATCCCTTGCACAACATTTACACACGGCCTTCCTCCTTTACTTTCCATTTCTATGGAAGTGCATCCGACATAGTTAACGCGATTGTTTAAAAGCACCTTTCTGTGTTCGTAATTACTAAGATCGTAGTAGCATCCGCTTGGGAAAAAAAAAGGGAAAGAAAAAAGGAAATTAAAGAAAAAATAATTACCACGGAAAAATAAACATTAGTTTAAGACGTTGATAAGTGAAAAAGTTATTTGCCTTTTTTTAATATGCTAATAATAATGAAATATATATATATATATATGATATTTATTTAATGATTTAATAAT